CTGATACTTTGTACCTGTCCTACCCTGGGTACAAATTAGAACACTTCTTTGTGCCCCGGGCTGGAGTTTGCATATACGTCAGAGAGGATCGACGTCTCGGCAGTCTTTTAGGTACGGCCCTGTCCATCCTTTGGCTGCGCGCATACAGCGACGACCATCCCCGCGTCTACGGGTGCCTGTATAGGTCCAATAGCGGTAATGCCGATACAGACCGACTCATCGACTACGTCCAAATGGTTACAGATTTCTTGCTACAACAGATCCCATCCGTAGAGATCGTGATACTTGGCGATTTTAACGCCCACCACACCGAATGACTCGGTTCACGTGTAACCGATCATGTGGGGAGATCTGTTTATGACTTTGCCTTGGCATATGGTCTGACATAACTGGCCTACGCGGATTCCAGATGTGGAGGACCATACACCTTCCCTGTTGGATCTTCTGCTGACCTCTCATCCGGATGGATATATCATCAGGTTTCCTCTCGACTCTTCGAACCATTGTCTGATCCGGAGTGTGGTGCCACTCACGCTCCCCTCGCGGTTGCATTCTGCAAGTTGCCGCCGTGTTTGGCATTACAGGTTGGAGGATTGGGACGGATTGCGGTCTTTCTTTGCATCCTACCATGGGGGCGGGCTTGCTTCTCGCTGAATGATCTCAGCGCTGTTGCTGACTCTGTCACTGATGTGGTGCTACAGGGAATGGAACTATTTATTTCATCATCTGTGGTACTCATCGGAGTCAGATCTCAGCCTTGGTTTGGTCGCTCCTGTAAGACTGCATTACGCAGTAAGCAGGAGTATTATCAGGCCTGAGCTCAGGCTTTAGCGGCTCGGGATATAAACACCAACATGCTTAAAAAGAAGTATAACTTCGCTTCCAGGTTATTCAAAAGAGTTATTGCCAAGGAAAAGTATGAGTACATTAGCAGAATTGGCGAGAAATTAATTCGCCTTCCTTCGGGAGCCCGTGCATTCTGGTCTCTCGCCAAGGCTATTCAAGGGACTTTCTGTAAGCCATCAATACCATCTCTGCGCAGGGAGGACGGCTCATTGGCCCACGCCACAAAAGAGAAAGCCGACCTTTTAGGCTCTCTTATTGCGTCCAACTCGATTCTCGATAACGGGTTAACACACCGCCGACTATCCCGCAGTGTGAGTGCTCTATACCTGATGTGCTATTCACACAGTGCTCACTATCCAAAGCACTCCTCTCTTTGGACACCCATAAGTCGAGTGGGCCTGACTGAATTGTGCTGAGGACGTGCGCTCCAGAGATTGGCACCGTTTCTAACACGTCTTTTCCGGTACTCCTACTCCCTAGGCGTTGTCCCAAATTCATGAAAGACAGGTTTCGTGCACCCGATTCCTAAAAAAGTTAACCGCTCTGATCCGTCCAACTACAGGTCTATCGCAGTCACCTCCTAGTTCTCTAAAATAATGGAGTCCATTATAAACTGCCAGCTCATGCGGTACGTTGAGGAGCACCAGCTGATTAGTGACCGCCAGTACGGTTTCCGTCGGGATCGCTCAGCTCAGTGATCTTTCTGTTTACCTAACACATAGATCGGGAGCGCTCTGAGGAATTGTTCGGATTAATCCTAGCTGCCAAATTTCACGAACGCACATCGCGGCAAAATTCACGATACCATCCACACCATCTGAATGCTTGGCGGTCCACCACTGTGACTTCACTAGGAGTTTTCTTCCGCGTTCGACGTCTCTGTGGAATACCTTACCACCGTCGATTTTTCCAGACCGATACGACTTAGGGACCTCCAAGAAAAGAGCTTACTCCTTTCTAAAACGCCGGCAACGCACCTGCAATTCCCCTTGTGTTACAGTTGTTCATGGGCGGCAGTAATCGCTTATCATCAGGTGAGACGTATGCTCGTTTGTCCCATCTCCTATAAAAAATAAGAAGAGAATAGTTAAGTAAATTATGTTGTTTTTTTTAAAGAAATTTAACGCAGTTGTGTCTCGCTAGCAACGCAAAGTACGGAATTTGCATTTACAAAAAGCCAAAATGAGGGGCTTTTTAGGTGCTAATTAGGTGTCAAGTTTAAAATTTAATTTTTTTTCTTTAAAAATTAAGTGCTAATTAAGTGCTAAGCGATTATTGAGACCCAATGCAGATTAAGATATTATTCTGGGAATTTTAGAGTCCACGACCACCATTACCTTAACATAAGTTATGAACGACGTTTTGTATTCTTTATCAGTGCCTAAAAATTAAGTACTAATTAAGTGCTGAGTGATTATCGAGATACGATCCAGATTAAGATATTATTCCGGGAATTGTAGGGTTCACGACCACCATTACCTTACCATAAGATATGAATGGAACTTTTTATTCTTTATCAGTGCCTAAAAATGAGGTGCTAAGTAATGCTAATTAATAAAGGTAGGGAGCCGTAGAAGCCGCGTACATCTCTTTATATTATAGTGATATGAATACTTCTCCCAAAACCATAAAAAAAGGACTACTCTTAGAGTGTGCAATGTAATTACAGTGTATATTACCGTGTAGAAGAAGCTACCAGGAACTGTCAACGTTTTGCTGATCTTTGAAGGCTGGCTAGTAAGTACTTTATTGCTATTTCGGTGGAGATTAAGATATTGTTCTGGGAGTTATAGGGTTCACGACCACCATTATCTTACCATAAGTTATGAACGGCATTTCTTGTTATTTATCAGTGCCTAAAAATTAAGTGCTAATTAAGTGCTGAGTGATTATCGAAACACGATGCAGAATACGATATTATTCTGGGAATTATAGGGTCGACCACCACCATTACCTTACCATAAGGTATGAACGGCATTTATTGTTCTTTATCAGTGCCTAAAAATTAAGTGCTAATTAATAAGGGTAGGAAGCCGTGGAAGCCGCGAACATCTCTTTGTATTATAGTGATTGGAATATTTCTCCAAAAAACTTTAAAAAAAGGACCACTCTAGAGTGTACAATCTAATTACTAGTGTATAGAGTTGAGTAGAAGAAGCTACCAGGAGCTGTTAACGTTTTGCTGATCTTGGGAGGCTGGCTGGTAAGTAGTTTATTGCTATTTCGGTATAATTTTGTGACAGCGGTAACAGAAAGTATTCAGGGAATTGTGAATCGCAATCGCAAATCTTTCCGAAAATACTGGATTAACTTAGACTAAAGGATTTCACATATTTATTATCGCCTGCCTGCCTCGTTGATCTAGTCGTTGTAAAAACGACTGCTGATCATGAGCTCCCGTGTTCAAATTCCGCGTTGGGCCCAAAAAATCACATTTTGAGTTTTCAGTGTCTGCCCGGAGTCAGGAATTGGCAGTGTCTCACCCCCGTGCCTCGGAAAATACGTAAAGCCGTTGGTCCTGTTGGTCCATCGGACTATGAGAGTGAGAAATAGAGAGTGCACCTGTGCTAGCGCATACATTTGGGCACTATAATCCTGTCTTGGGCTGTTGGTTAGTCTCCGTTGAGGATGACCGCAGTGACAAAAATACGATCTGGAGGACATTGTTAGTACATTTATTACCAAATTCATAACTCTTCACCCCAACCATTCTATTAAAATGACCTAGCACAATGTTTTCTTTCTCCTCACATATAATTTAAACCATTATTACCATCTCTCAATCTGTACTTGTACATAAGAGTTGGACGAGACTATGGAGTCATTTTTACTTGTCACTGAATCGTTATACAAAACAAGAGGTTGATAGATTCTTATGTCATTGCCTCACGGCTAAGTCGCTAATCTGTATAATTGGCTTCGTCGCTCCTTTAGCACCACCCGGAAGACTGTCTTAGGTTAGGCCCAGGATAGGTGATCGAAGCCTACGGCGATTAATATGATTTTTTTGTAGTATTCTCGTTTGAAAGGATTATTGTAGATTATATTATGGATTATATGATAGATTTATAACAGAAACTGAACGGCAGATGGTTATTGAACAAAGAAAAAAACCAGTGGACTCTGCACTTGGGCCCGGCGCGGGCCGCAACGGAGTCCCAGTCGCCTCAGATGACCCGAGAGGCTGACTGTGATGAACCCGTTCGCAGAACCGACTACTGAGATAATTTTGGTCCACAGAACATACCATACACATATCGGCTACCTAGTGAGAGGTTCAAATATTTTTTTTCTTATCTGTTTCGGTTTTCACAAAGTTTGCGTCATACGGAGTTGTAATGTCGATTAACAATATGAAATATTGTCGACTGTGTCTACACCGTCACTACAATATCTTGCTTATATGCAAGAATAGTTTTGCCTGTGATGATGGAACAGTCCCAGTAGAGCCTGGCGTGGTCATTCTCGAGCACGGTTTCTATCGAGTACTTATAACATGTAGTTTCAGATCCACGAGGCCGCACTTCAGAGTCTAGCTCTTGGTTATTATAATTATAATCACTCATATTTATTTTATTGCATGCTTTACGATGTCACTTTTACTTTCTTTTGTACGTATAATATGTATTAGTTCCTTGTATTAACTAATAAACGTCCGCGACTGCTATCGTAGTTTGCAATGACCACGGCCAGGTTTAACTGCAATCAGACCTTGTACTTTGTGGACGAGTAATTAAAGACCGAAATAACTTTGATTTGTTTCGTTTAGTTAGCAAATTATACTGCAACTGGCCGTCCGTGAGAACCGTGATATTGAATGGTCCTGACAGTACACGCAAAGTTTTTACTTTTTACATATACACGTGAAAATAAACAGTGCAAATTGTAACATATACGCTTTGCTTTTTTGTCGAGTATTTCATCGGAGAAATTTGTTGGAAAATGATTTTCAGTCTATTCAAGTTCAGTTACGTAAGTATGCGTGCAAGAGAATTGGTGCGGAATAACGGATGTTTGGTGGTGCTTGTCGGCGATGTGCGTCGCCGTTATAAACTCGCACCCATCGCACTGGTCGACAGTTATCGTTAGACAACCCTCAAACACATCATTTTTTAGTTTTCAATATTGTGTGTTGATTAAAATATAAAACAAACATGTGTACCTCCTTTCGGATAGTAATGGTTTTACTCCTGTGTGCAGCGATCGCTTCCAGCCATGTTCATGGGCCGAGAACATCCCGTAGGATGGATGTCGAAGACTCCAGCCAGAATGAAATTGACAGTGGTAGAGCTGATGAAAGTTCTTGGTGGCAGTCGGCCGAATTTACAATGTTACAAAAAGTTTACGATGATTGCAGTGCACAAAAACATTTAACGATGTGTTTGAAGGGTAAAGCTCTAACAGCACTCACGAGGGCAGTGGAGCAGGTGATTGCAGTGAAATTCGTGTATAAGGACTACATAGTGCTCAGTGATTGTGTTTATAATACTTTATTATTGTACAGGAGAGCGTACAACTGGCCGATGGACTGACTTTGCTAAAACAGTCTGACACACCTGTTTCGGTGGCGGAGCCTCGATTCTTCTCTGGTATGTCTACAGAAGAAAAGGTCGACATCATGCTACGAAGAAAATTCGAAGAGTTATTGAAGACACATACTGTATCACTTGACTTTTCTTCGGAAGGTAGAAATAAAGGTGGGTGCAGTGACTGATTAATTTTTAGATTAATAACAAGTGTAATTAAAAATTATATTTATTAAAAAAATATGTTATAAGTTATTATTATGTACAGGAAAGAAGGTCTTGCCATACCTCATGCTCGGTGTTTTAACAACCGTTAGCATAGTGGGTGGTATGGCTCTGAAGACTTTAGCTATGATTGCCGGTAAAGCACTCATAGCCAGTAAGATTGCTTTAACAATTGCCGGCATTATTGCCCTCAAGAAACTGTTTAGTCAAGAAGGATCTACTGGTGAAACAACTTTTCAAGTACACGCCGATGGACATCATAGGTGAGTTGCTAATTTCATGACAATAAGTACAAAACCATTTCTTAAGTAAAACAGTTCAAATTAAATTACGGTAAATTAAGTTTCATTGAAAAATGTAGTCATAATAATATTATACATGTGTTAAGGCAATTATTAAACATTTGCTTGTATTAAATTGTGAATCTTCATTTTAGTCTTTAATTCGAAGGCGGAATCTATACGTGGTGAGGCCAGTTAAAGAAGGCGCGTTTGACCCGTATTTGTACAGCGGGGAACAATCTACCTCCAGCGCGTAACTTCAGTCACTTTCTTAGAGATGACAGCTGAGCTCCTGCGCCCCGCCGAACCAGACACATAAAGCTCAAGCCAAAGTATTGTTCACATTGTGGACAAAAACTCTGGACATTCGTTGTGCATACTCGTTTCCAGATCTACGTCAGTAAATAATTTATTATTATTTATTTTATTGTGACTGCGGTAATAGCTGTATTTAAATAAATGTAAATTAATTTACTAAAGTTATGTAAGAAACAATAAAAAATAATTTATATATTTATTTTTATTTTTGTTTAAAAATTTTTATTTTTTAAAATAAAGGCTTCATAATGATTTCCTTCCAGTTATTTAATGATCTCAAATTTTCATCATCTTTACTGTCATCGTAGAACAAAAGAATTAAGTAATCGTAGTTTATACAACAAAAAAAACTTTTCACCTGCTTTATCACTTCGATATGTGATGATATAATACTGTCAGAATATTATCGGCGTAACCTAAGGGGTATCGAATATTTTTTTAAATGTTTTCTAAATGTCAATCTGACATACACAAAAAGCTAATAGAAAAATGCCGAACCTAAATCTTACAGACTGGTGATAGTAAACCGTATTAGGTATTCCCAAACACTTTGTTTGCCAGCTATAAACCACGGCATTTTTTTGTTCCTACTAACTCATCATGGCTGTCTATGCCTTTTAGGTACTACTTTTAATGTGTACGCAAACTTACACACTTACACGCCCCTTCAGTAATTTTACTAAATTAAACCCAGGATGCAAATCGTAGGGCTGAAAGGACACATCTTTCAAATATACCTATTTACACTGATTAACTATTGTGCTCATTTTCTTCTTGTCACCTCGAGGGTAATAGCTGAAAATCAGTGTTTGCTCTCTGAGCAATATTAATCGCTGAGCTAGGACCCATTTGTCAAACTGCAACACACATGTACATTTAGATTTTAAGTTTTTGTAAATTATTTTTTTCGTAATATGTTACTTTGTACTTAGTTTAGTTACTGAATTTACGTGTGTGATTGGAGAAACAAATAAATGCTTTATCTATCTATCTATCTATTACCACTAAGCGCACGTTCACCAAGCTGAATGAACCGCGTAATAAGCAACACTTTCGAGAAATGCATATGCATACGCAACGGATATCCGTTGCGTATTCTTGTAAAGGCTTAAAGTCAAGGTGTAGATATAAACAGGACTGATGATGAACCTTCTAGATTTAATTTAACAAAGTGAACCTTGTATTTTTTAAATATTAGAGTGGCAACAGGCCAACAGACAAGATTTAAGTGACAAACGCAGTAATAGTTCACCTGATGGTAAGTGGCTGTTGCTATCCATTGGCACTTGCAATCATTTTCAATCAGATAAAGCAAAAAATGCGTTGTTACCCCTGAAGATTAGTATGAAATGCCTCACAACTTGTAACTATGCTGGCTCTCTTATCTTTTAACCGGACCACAGCAGTGGTGCTAGGGGTAGTCAGGTAAAGCTGGCAGGTGCTGTAGTAAAGTAAGGCTCTGTGTGGGCTTCGGTTGCGGCGTTGGGGTTTTAGCTGGTAGAAGTCTGGCACAATCATTCCGTTTCTCCCGCAGAGGTAGGCATGTTAATGAGGATTTTCCCACAATAAAAAGATACATTTCAATTGGAGAGCAAAAATAAGGTAAGAGAAGTGAAGGTAAGAAATAGAAGTTCTATCTATGTATTGTAAATAATTATAAAAAGTAAAAATTAAGTTACAGCGTATATACGATCCACTATTGGGTTCAGTGTTCTTCTCATTACTTCTTCTCATTTCTGACAGGGTGTTTAAGACAAGGAAATGCTAGCAGCCCATGTATTCAAAATATTTTTTTTATTTCTTAGGCATGCAGGTTTCTTTACAATGTTATCGTTCACCGCTGAGAATCTGGCAAGTTGGCACTTAAAATTGCGATTAACAATTTCCTTGGTGTCGGCGATCGAACCTAGATTGCTCGCGTAAGTACTGTAAAATTTATAAAAAGGAATATCTATTAAAGTCGTTTTGTGAAATAATTTACCGATTAACTTAATGTTTTAATTAACGTACTTTAAACACTTTCTTTCGCTCTAGTAGAGTGGACCTGAGAAATATGTTGATATTTTCCGTTTAGTGGGTAACAGCAACTACGTATGTGAAAAGTAGAAAGTTTAAATCGATTCACTGCACATGCTTGCATAGATACAATTGATATGAGTAACTAGTCACGATTTCTGCTGCATTGGACAACTGGGTAAGGTGCATTGACACCGGGTGGAAGCGATCTGTGAAACTGATTTTGTTTCAGTAATTTTATAAAACATTATAAAGTTTTAAAGTGATATAGAAACTGCAGCGTTAAATGTATGACATAAAAAACTTTCAAACGAGTTAACGCCAACATTTATATGTTGGCGTTAATTCGTTTAAAAGTGCAATGTGTTTAACATTTGTATGTATATATACAAAGGTTGAGTACACATGGCAGTGTATCAGTAAAGTTCGGGAAAATAGAGGGACGCACCGGCAGTGTGTATATTTATTATGAGCTACTATCGAACCTACTATAGTTCAAAAATCTTCGAGACCTTTAATTTTGCATATGGACCACATGAATACCTAGAATCTCAAAAAATACAATTATTCTTTGGGTTCTTGAGTTATTGAGTTCTGTAAAGTGCTATTTTTATCACTCACTGACTCACTCGTCATAAATATAGGCTCAGTTACTTCGATATTCGAAGCTAAATCTAAATGAAAATTAAAAAATGCTGAAGCGTAAACGCAATAAAGAACGTTGAAGGTTGTGTATTTATTTAGATTTAAAAAAGGATAAAAGTTTCTTTTAATATGTTAATGATATCCCATCAATTATACATTTCAATAGATCAACTGAACTACATTTGGCCTCCTTTATACATCTATGTTATTGGTGGGATAGACCTTCTCAGCGTCCCTACACGCGCATTACTACTAGTACTACATAATGCGTTGAGAAGAGGTCTAAATCTACATGAGTTAGATGAATTTGCGCAAGGCATTTATCATCATCGATTTTGGAGTAACAAAAACTGTATAGGATTTTAGAAAAAAAAATTGGCTCGAAAGTGTTATCTTATGCAAAAAAAAATTATTTGGACTTTTAAAGATTTAAAAAAAAATCTAATTTTTACTTATAAACCACTAATCTTACAAATTTGTTTAATCTGTATATATATTAAAATATGAAGAGAAAACTTTGTACCCTTTTTAACCATATAGCGCGCGTGTGAGACTTAGCATAATTAAAGTTTGTATGTAGAAGAAGTGCACAAAGCTAAAATTTATAAATAACTAGCTGGCCAGACAGACCTTGTTTTGCCCTTTGTCCTTTAAAATTTTCGTTAAATTCACAATAAAAATATTAGGGGTCACTTATCGCAATAAAAGCTATCCTATATCTCAAGTTTTACCAAACTGTACACAGCTACAAAATTTCAATGAAATCAGTTCAGTAGCTGAGGAGTTCATCGCGGTCAAACAATGTGACACGTAATTTTTATATATAGAGATAAAATAAATAATATGTGCTACAAATACATGAAATAAAATAAAACATGATTTTTTACCAATTATTGCCAATGTCAATCTTATTACTTATAATCTCAAATGGGTTCTATCCACTGATCTCTATATATGGATTGGCTATACACCGTGAAATAATGAGGCGATTTGATTTTCCCTATTTTGGCGCTAACAGTAGAAGTGACCGTCCAAGGAGCTAATGATAGAGATAAGAAACATATCGATAAAAATTCTATACCCAGGCCTACCCGCAAAGTCCATTCTATTTATGAATCATATTAATATAAATAAATGTATCAATTAATACGTAGGCCTTAGACGCAAGCTTTATACCTCATATAAAATCAAAGTCGACACTGCGTTGGTCTATCTACATTTTTATTTATAACTACAGAACGGATTTTGTTCCGGGTTTCAAATGAGGAAATGCCTACGCATAACGGTTCGCGGAGGCAAGAACGGATTATGTCAGACTCGCACCTACTAAAACACCATGGTGTTCCACATTCACCGCATATTGGCTGGGCCACGGAAACGCTTTCAAATACATCCGCGGCCCCACCAGTTTCAGCCGCCCAATTCTTAGTTGAGGACTTCTCCTCCCCCTTTCCTTCTCAGATAAAGCACACCAGGAACACAAGGGACACTGCCCTTCGCGGCCTCCAACTCCACCTGCACAACAGACTCCCCCAGCACCAAGAGGTGGAGCCCCGCCAAAGTCACGGAGGATAGTCGAGTAGCGCATCGCTGCAGCGGTTATAGGGAGAGGCCTCTCCTCTAGCTGCAGCCCACTAACACATATCCAAGGGCACGACAAGCCCACTGAGAGTGGCCACCTTATTGAGATACCTAGAGTGGCGATCATATTTAAACAGATTTAACAAATTTACGTCTTGTAAACACAAAGTCATCATCACACAACCTTTCTACACCTGGCTATGGACCTTGAGTCTGGGGAAAAATAAGGAGAGAAGAAATAAAAAAAACACATTCGAAATAATAATCTAACACTTTTATACTTACTAATACTGGTACTAACAGAAAATATTGTGGATATACTGCACTTTTTCAAAGTGGTGCGTTTCTCATGTCTAATAAAACAGTCGTCTGTGAAGTGTTTAGAACAATGATACTCATTTTGTTTCGGACACCATTTACAATTTTTATGGTTTTTATAAGTAATTACGCAACCACCACCGTTATCCACAAGGTAATATCACAATATCATCATCATCATCATCATCATCATTACAGCCTTTCATAAGTCCATTGCTGAACATAGGCCTCCCCCAAGGAATGCCAAAAAACACGGTCTTGAGCCACCTGCATCCATTGACTTCCTGCATGTCTTACCAGGTCGTCACTCCATCTCGTGGGGGGTCGCCCTACACTTCGTCTACCGGTACGAGGCTGCCACTCAAGAACCTTTCTTCCC